AAAAAAGCCTCTACTTACCTTAGAAGCAGAGGCTGGGGGGCCTCCGGGGTATCCTGGCAGAACCCCCCTGGGCAGCACAGGGCAGGGGGCAGAAGGGCTCGGGCTGAGGCTGCTGGGGCTGTCCCTCTGCCTTGCACTGTGCAGGCGGGGCCCCAGTGATACAGACAGCAGCTGGACTACTGATAAGTGCCAGGGGGGGTTGTTTGTTTGTTTTTTCCTATGGGGATGCTGGGGCCGGGTGGCAGGGATCAGGGCCTCGGGGGGGCCTCAGGGTGAGGCCAGGCAGAGCAGGGATTGGGGGGGGCTTGGAGGGCAGGTGGGGAGTGAGGCTGGGCAGAGCAGGGCTAGGGGGGCTGGGGAAGTGGGTGGAACCAGCAGGGGTCCCCCATATGGTCCTCTCCCCACCTCCTCCAACCCCCCCGACTCCTTACATACTGGCACCGGAGCTCTGGAGCTGCAGCATGCTGCCTGGCAGGCTACGTGATTCAGCACCAGGGCGAGGGGCCAACCACAGAGATGCTCTGGCAGCCAGAGCATCTCTGTGGAGGACCCAGCCTCCAGTTGCCTCAGGCTGCCCCACTTTTTTAAACTCCATTTTATTAAGACCCCTAGATATCCAGGGGTCTAATTTTCTCCCCACGCTGCAAACTTGCAGTGCAGGGAATATTTTTTCAATTTTCTCCCCGCAGGAACAAGTTTGCAGTGCGGGGAACATTTTTTCATTCCCGCACGTGCCTCTTGCCCCATATCAAAGGGGTCTGAGACAAGGCAAGAGGCATGCGCGCACTTGTCTGGACGCGCCCTATGATTCTACATTGTTCACGTACTATGTAAATGTACTATACTGAACATAGTGGAGCCCCAATCTGTCAGGATCTTCATGCACTGTGATAATATGAATAATAATACTGGAGTTACCCCCTTGCACTTTTCTGCAAAATGATACATTTTTACAAGCATGTCCATTTTCAGATAGATGCAAAGTCCCAAACAAGCAACATTCTTTGGAGGAAGAATGGGAAATATACAACATTCAAAAACATATTGTCCTGGGGCTACCAGAAGCTCCTGGATAACTGAGAATTTATAATACTCCCCAGATCTATGTTCACAGGCAAAAGATCTTCCTGAATACAACAAAAATTCTTAGTAAAAAAATGTACAAGAATTACTGAAGTTGCACAAGATAAAGTAATTATGTGGGCTTTGGTACTGTAATATAGAAAAAGGCCACAGACGCATATGCTATGGGACTGTGCAACAGTCAGGCATCTGTAGAAAGAGGCTGACATGAAAGTTAAAATGGTATTTGACTTCAGCAGTCAGACTTATGCTGAAAATTATATCCTAAGATACAACCCCACTAAACTAATTTTACTGCACCACAAGGACTATGGTTCTTGAGGGCTGCCCTGATTGCCAAGTGCATAACTAACAAAAATGGACAAGGAAGCTCATGCCTGTAACACAGCAGTAGGATTTAGACCTCTATGAATTAGAAGTCAAAGAGAAAATAACCGTCTGGCCTTGCAGCTTTGAAAAATCATATATGCTGCAAGTTGTTTACCCTTTTTTACTTTTTGTCTTCTCAGGTGTGAAAAAAAATCAATCAAAATCAAATCACAAAAATTATTTCTGATTGAACCTATCTTAAAAAAAAATCACCAGACTCAGATTATCAAGCAAAAGCTTTCACGTGTGAAGAACTTTAATTTTTAAAAATACTTTCTATTTAATATCCTACTGTTAAGATTTTACCTGTGTGGTATAACGCTTAGTTTATGTTAATTTCACACCTGTCAAACATTCAGGAAAAAAAACTTACAAGCTTTGAAAATATACTGCCAATCACTAATACAGAAATTAAGCAAACCCAGTTTAGCTATGCTAATAATATGTAACTATTTTAAAAATAGATTTTAGTACTGTTAGAACAAATCTGTATGTAGCATGCTGCTCCATTCCCCTAAGAGAAAAATGGACCCAGAGCTGTAATATAATCCAATTTATTTATTTAAAATAATTCCTAATAAAGTCTGAGGGTCTAAAATTAGACCCATTAAATTATTGATTTACTTTTATTAATTGACATGCATATTACAAAGGTCGTCAGTCTCACCTTTTCTTTCAGCTCAGTTTCTGAAAGCAGAAGTAATAGTATTGACAAGAATTCTGCTTTGAGAAGAACCAACCATCTTCACTGTTGTTTTTCATGTTTCCCAATGGCCAGTCACGAATGTGACTCCATTTCACTAGGCACTGTACCAACACAAAATGCTAGATGGTCTCTTTTGGTCTAAAAGAACATGAAAGGTAGGGGGCAGATGCCTGCTTTCTCCACTTTTTTTATACACTGTCCTGAAGACTCTCGGCTTTTAAGTCTCTCTTATTTTTACTACAAAGTAGAAAAAGAATAAATAATAAACTTGTTCCATACAATGCTTATTGGAAGCACTTAGAATATCATAGTCTTTAACTACAGCAATCTTTTAGGGGCCAATTCTGGGCAATTTTCCACATTTTTGCTTGAAACATGCACAGTGGATAAGTCAGAATGGCTGATTAATCTGAGAGGGTTCCTACTCACAAAGAGACCAAGAAGGTAGAGTGCAAGAACAATGTGACATGACTATAAATATCCATAGCACAAACAATCCCAGCAAGCTGGATTCATGGTTCTTAGATTCACCATAAGACAGGGTGGAATTTCAACACTGCTGAAGCCCATGTTGTGGAGAAGTGAAATTTTTCAGGACCATATTGTTAGTTATATTAGGCATGTATTTAGAATATTTCATCTGGACTGTCTTTATGAACATAAAACTTTTTTATCTTGCATAAAATTTAACTCACTTTAAAATATAAAACTTTTTTTCTCTCAAGCTTCTGTAATTAATATATCAATGCAAATGTTCATTACAGTGATTTTTAAAACAGATGGAGCTTTTCAACATAAAAAAACAGCTCTTACCAGCTCATGCCTAGACTTGTCAGGTAGATACCTCTGTAGCATATCCAAGTAGAGAGTTCTTCTTCTCTGAAGGTCACTTGGATACTGACTTATAACAGTCTGAAAAACCCAGAGATCATCTTCACTCCATCCAAAGTTCCTGTAAATATTCAAAATAATCAGGTCCAACATAATTTAAATTGAAAACGAATGAGATCTGAAAATTGTAAGATTTGGCTTTCTTTAAGGCTAACCCTTGCATTAGCAGAACATCTATGCAGAGTGTAATTAAATGTCAAATGGGCTTCTGAAATGTCATTCAGAAGTTACTGAATGACAGTGGGTATAAGCATATTCCTCATGTAGAGTCCAACTCTAAATAGAGTGATGGATTAAAAGAAAATAGAAACGGTGAGAGGCAGAACAAATAAGATAGTGAAAACCAGCCCTGTGATCTGTTCTTGGCAAAGAGAAGCCACACCTTTTCTGCCTTGTACTTTATGCTCTTGTCCTTCTCACAAAGACTCAGCCCACTCACTCCCTAACCCCTAGTTTTAAAAAAAATAAATAAACAACATGAACAAAAGGTAGGTTGCTTGCCCAAAGTTAGAGAAGAGCTGGCAGCAATATTCCCTTCCTGGTCTCTCTCCTGCCTGTTGTTCTTGGATATCCAAAGCCATTCCCCAAAGGGGCCTTCCAGAGCCTTACACTATATTCCCAACTGAGATGGGGATTTCAGGGTAGAAATAGGCATTGCAAAATGAAGTGGATTAACTATGCCTGGACACTTCCAGGCACAGCTGATCCACTTCACTGTGCAAAACACACATTACCCATTGATGTTCCAGGACAACTGTTGATGTGTTCTCCTCGAGTTTGAGGAACCTGGTCCGATGCACCCAGGGAATTCCTGGGCAGGATCTGGCCCCTCAGGCCCTGGGAACACCTGCCTAACTTTCCTCACTTACTGAGATGCGCCCTGGAGATCCCAAGGGTGTATCTCAGCAAGCGGGGAAAACCAGGAAGGCAATCCTAGGACTTGAGGGATGCAGTTTTGCCCAGAGATTCCCAGCGTGTTTAAGATCAGGTCCCTCAAATGTCTGGAGCACATACCAGGGCAGCTGGAGAGCATGGGCAGCTACAGGCTACTCACACTTTTGCACCATAAACAGATATCCACTGTTAAAACATATATCCAGCACAAATAAATAGCACCTTTGTCGCAACCACTATTTATAGTGTGGCTATTTATATCTGTGGATATCTATTTGCTTGGCTTTTGTGCCCCCATAAAATATGTTATGGGGGCACAAAGGTAACATCTGTTTCTACCCACATTTCCCAGTCTATTGTATTGTCTTGGTCCCATGAGTAAAAGACTGGCTGGAACATTAAAGAATCAGTTTATCACTATGAGGAGATGAGAGTTCTTACCCTCCTTGCTGCCAGAACACTACTCCTAGGCCTAAATTAGAAAGAAAAGTATTTTTCCAAACCACTTTCCAAGGTTTTTTTCTCTCCCTCAGTGACTGAATTCTCCTATTCTACAAGTACTGTTCCTAGGTCAGTGCTACTCCTCTTCTAGGAAGTTACCTGCAGATCTTTATGGGTCATTATTGAAGGAAAGGAATAAGACAGAAAGAGAGATGTAGTACAATGCTAAAATGTATTAAAGTACTCGAGTATACCCTTAAAGTATTCTGAAAGTATTAAAACATTCTTGCTTTCCACAGTACTTAGGAAATTACACTGTGTAAAAAATGTCAGGTGAAATAAAGCTGGCCAAAGATGCTACTTATGGTTGCTGGTATTTCTTCACAATATTTTATTACCTGAAGTTATGGCTCTGGAATGGTTTCAGTGCTGAAAACAAGTTTTTTTTTTAAGGGCCATACAAATTTATTGTTGGATTTCTGAGGCAATTAAGAATGGGCGAGTTCATATCCAGCCCCAGAAGGCAAAATTTAACTGAGTATGAAATGGGAACATATGGGGTGAAACAAGCAGATGGAATCTAACTTGCAAAAAAAGAAAATAGAAGATGTGATATGTGAAAGCAATTATGAGGTATTAAGGTTTTGAATTGCCAAAATGGTCAATATATACAAAACACAGCAAAAAAAAAAAAAAAAAAAAAAAAAAAAAAAAA